GAAGATTTTTAGAAGATTTTTAGTGTCATTAAGTCTAAAACAAAATGATATTTAGGTTAGAAAATTTTCCGAAGCTTGTGAAAAGTTCAGCAGAAATCAAGATTCAATGAGGGACATCCTAACTAGTTTCAGTATGGGAGATTCACCTTCGCTTCAGGATTTCAAGATCAAATCATTGGTTAAAAAAAGAGATACATGTTATCGTATAACTCATGATTTTAAGATCAAATCATTAGTCAAACGAAAGGTATCCTTTGTTTTATGGCTCATGAGGCGTCTATGATGAAAAATATAAAAGAACCTACAAAGCAACATGAAGGAACGATCTTGTTTGCAACTTTGCATTGACTCATAATTCTGAGAACATATTGGAGCTCAAAAGTCCAAAAAATAAACGAAGAAGTACCGAGTAATCAACCACAAATTACTGCTCAGGAAACACATCAGGGGAACCATACAAACTGAAATTGGATCGCAGAAACACCAAAACATTTCAAAGTATCGAACAAGAATCATATCAGGTTACAATCAAGAGAAGTAACATTTAACACATCATACATGAAAAACCCTTTGCAATGCTATGCCACATATCAATGAAAAACCCTATATTTGATCAGAGAGTTAATATTCCCCATATTCTCTTGATAGTAAAAGGGGAAAAGGTATTAATTTAAATGAGAAGCTAATGAAAATGAGAAAAAAAAATCTCAGAACCTTCTAGTCTGCCATTTTATTCAAGCGGTGAATGGTAGTTCTTGCTATCCTGTTACCAGGGTCAATCTTGAGGACAGATCTCAGGTCTTCCGCACCAAGTTTATACTTTTCCATGCTTTCATATAAGAGTGCTCGCTGTACAAGGACAGACACATTTGCATCATCATGTTCTAGGACCTGCATAGCAAGATGCACGTCAACACTCTGCTAGAAGCCAATTAAGGGGATAAAAAAATTGGATAGTACTTGATGTTCTCCAACACACAAGTAACAAACTAAGACTCATAACCCTTGATGGGTCAAACATATAGGACCTTGTGGTGTAAACCTACACTAATTAGTGGGAACCACATCAAGTTACAACATTCAGCAGGATACAGATAAGCTATGGTCAAATACTCACACTGGATAAAGATATTAATGAAAATATAGCTAATAGTAAACACTATTCAGTTTCAAAACAATAGCAATATAAGCTCAGGAAATTGCAGAAGTTGGCACCACATAGAATGTTGCCATATCAGCATATACAGGTTCAAGAATTGACCGAGCTGAATTTTCATTTATAAAGCACCTGTGAATACTTACTGTAAATATTCATGTTAACAAAGAATTATGAGAAATGATTGAGCAAGTGAGTAATATATATACCTTTGAACAGTCAGCCACAGCCTTCTTATACTCTCCAACCTCCTTATAACAAGAAGCCCTGCAAGACAAAACTTCCATGGTTCCAGCCTTATCACCTGTCTTCTCAAGAAGAATCACAGCCCACGAGAGCCACTTAATGGCATCTGCATATTGGCCTTGCTTTTGGTTATCAATACCCTTGCTTTTTGCAGCAGAAGCAGAGACACCAGCTGGGGGAGGAGGAAGCCCTTCAAGGTCGGTTGTTGAACCACCTTCATCAATTCCTCCTGCTCCTCCAAAATCAGGTTCCAATCCCCAATCATCAACTCCAGAAAACTGCTGCCCTCCACCCCCACCAGATGCTGGTGTGGCACCTCCAGCTGATGCTGAGGATGATGAAAAGAACATGTCAAGAGGATCACCACCCGAGCTATTGATAGATGTCTGATTATGGGATCCAACATTCTTAGTTGGCATCCCAAAGTCACCCATATTGAAATCAGAACTTGTGTTTGATCCCAGAAAATCATTACCGTTCGAACTAAAACCACTGGATTGAAATGTGGTTGTGCTTGGTTTTGAAGCACTCTGGAAATTCCCAAATGAATCAGCAGCAACTTTATTACCTTTGTTCCCTGAGTTAAGACCCGAGGAGGACTGCTTTGATGAAAAATCAACCAATGAACCAAATGGATCCTTACTTGAATTAATCCCACTTCCAATCCCACCTCCAGCCATACTCTTCATGGAAGGACCCCCAAGATTCGAACTCTTAGCACTACTAACATTGACATTGACACTAACATTACTACCAACACTATTGGATCCACCAGAATACCCCCAACTTCCACCAGTTTTCAACGGATCAGTAGTTTTTGGCAATGAATCAGCTAAATTACCCATTGAATACGGGCTCTTACTTGATGAATCCGTTTTGGGAGTTGCATTTTTCAAAGGAACATTACTCTTCATACTACCTTTACCCTGCCCCATAGCAGAACCAACTAAATCCCCAAACAAGTTCGGGTCTTTGTTAGCAATCCCAACGGTAGACCCACCCCCACCTCCAGAGTTCCAACTCTTACCAAAGATATCACCCACCATGGAAGAAGGCCCAGTTAACCCAGAACGATTCGTCTGCGCCGGAGTTGGTTCGTGGGTCCACGTAGGCTTGTTGGGTTGCCAAGAAGGCTTGGGTTGTGCAGTCGATGATGAATAAGTAGAAAACGAAGATGTAGTCTGATTCTTCTGATCGTTAAGGGATTTGGGTCGGCTCGATCCCATCCCGAAATCGAATTGGAAGTTATTCATGCTTCTAATTTTCCAATTGGTTGGAGATAATAAAGAAAGACAGTAGAAATTTATGGATCCGAGTAGAGATATTTAGATCTGATTCGATAAAGAAAGTACCTTGAAAATTGAGGTCGACGGTCGTGCCGTGGCCTCGGTGGCGCCGGAGAATTTCCAGGGGACACAGAGTAACAGAGAGACTTCTGGAAGAAAGAGATTGAGTTCCGACAGCAGGCTTCGGATCCTGACTTATATCTATTTTTGGTGTTTAGGTGTGTGGAAGCCTACTAGAAGGATTAAAATTAGAGTCCCCCATGCCATATTGCCGAACATCAATTATTTTTTTATCTTTTATGTTTTTGATTTTAGGTGAAATAAATAATCCTCAAACTCATCATGTGTTTTTTTTTTTTTTTTTTAATATTATTAAAATATTTAAGTTGTTGATAATTTTTTTATATTAAATGAATTATATAATGAAAATGACATTAATCAGATCTTACCCATTAATCAGATCTTCCACTAAAAACAAAGTACTTAGGTCCTTGGTGCAAATAAATAATCCTCAAACTCATCATGTGTTTTTTTTTTTTTTTTTTAATATTATTAAAATATTTAAGTTGTTGATAATTTTTTTATATTAAATGAATTATATAATGAAAATGACATTAATCAGATCTTACCCATTAATCAGATCTTCCACTAAAAACAAAGTACTTAGGTCCTTGGTGCAAAGTATCAATGGTTAATTTAAAAGGTCCACACTCATTATTAGCAAAATCCTTGTTATGATAAATGTCTTACAAATTGGTAAGTCGGAATTCTAATACACTTTTTTTTTACTTAAAAAGTTCAGGAAAATTCATTTTTATAAAGCATTTTTTGGACAAAAAAAAAGAGGTTAATTCACACATATGTTTTCCTCTACCAATGAAACATTTTGTTTAATTTTATTGAAAAATTGTGTATGTGTTTATTATTTTTTTCAAATTAATAATTGTAACTTTAAAAATTAAATTAAAAAAAATTAAATATCAAGCTTGTTTATTATGAGTGCCGATAACCATATTCATTTGGAATTTTAAATTAAATGAGATTTACAAATAGGATAGATAATATTAAAAAATGTGGTTTTTATAAATTCTTTCTTAATTGAATTTATACAATTTCAAAACACTTTGATTAAGAGTGAAAATCAGTAGTTTACATTTCAAACATACAAATATCCAAGGGCACTAGCTTCCTCAAGCACCAAAAAGAATATAACGAAAAAGGTTATAAAAAAAAGTCCCAAAATGTAGCCTCCCCTATCTCTAACTCAAATTCTATGCACCAAATGGACATCATATTGGGTAGAATGACCTTATGAGTGTCATAAAAACCTTTTAAGCTCCAAGTTAAGAAGATATCGGAAGAATTGACATAGAAATATCCTGCGAAGCAAGTTCTTTCTCTAAGCAACCACATGGAACTAAATACTGAAAAGGGAGTGAAACAAAAACATCACACATCGCCAAATGTGTGTATGCATACCATAGTATGAGATCCAGCTGGCATTAAAGGAGTAAATGCATGTGATGATTCACTTGAGGAAAAAAGCCAACCATGACATTTCTCCCTCTTTTCAGCCCTATCATTTTCCATTCAAATACACCTGCTGATCATTTCAAACAGCTTTAGAAAATAATAACACTACCTACACATACCCAGTGCCCTATGACACTAGTTCTACCACAATGTTCCAAGCGGTTATAAGTGATGAAAGAAAGAAAGAAAAGTGGTTTAAAGCCAACACAGGCAACATGATAAAACACAGAGTGCATTAATGCAATACTCAGTTGTCTGCAACACATAATAATAAATATTCACATTTCAGATCTTCAAAAGGGTGCTAGATAATGTGCATTTGAAAAACAAAGATCAAGGAAACAACCACAATGCTTAATTCCATTCCCAAAGTGTTAAAATTTCGGGATTATAATTCCAACAGCTACCCTGACCCTGAACTTCCTTGACATTGGAAACACCTCCAATGTCACCTCATGCATAGCCTATGAACGCCTGCGAGGTCTGGTCCTCTGTGGTTGACAAGGAGCTGTATACTGTGGTCTATGGATGACTTTTCCATCAATATATAGATCCCCTAATCATCAATTCACAAAGAAATACAACAAAATGTCACAATACCTGAAAAAATTCATTAGAATAAATGGAAAATTTCTCTACAAAATTAATTTTAGATAATACTCACCACCGTAATCTTTGTTAGGTACATCCATATAAGAATCAGGCAAAACCCAAAGAACACCAGGTAACTCTGCATCACAAAACATTTCAAGATCTACATGTCAAATTTACTACAAAAAGAAAAGAAAATAGAAGAAAGAATCATCCTCTCTTTATTCAGATTTCGCAGAAAAACTATATACACTTGAGAAAAAATTCAAGAAAAATTTCAGCATTTTGAAATTCTAAACACTAAAACACCTTGTAGGCATTATATATGTTACCATGGCCTCATCAAACACCATAAACAGAACTTAATTTTATACCTAAAATCTCAAATCCTAAACCCTCAAACATCCATATGAAACAAACACAAGATAATTTCAGTAGATACACAAAATCAAGATACATAAAAGCCTCAAGAAGCCAAACCTTTGGAGTTTGGACTTCAATTTTTTATTTTTATTTGCTTTTATTATATCTACATCTTCGAGTTCCATTAAACACCATGTTGTCAATCAAATGCTCTCAATTAGAAGCACCAAAAGAAAATAAATCCAATGAAATTCCGTGAAACATTAATAATTCAGAACACAAAATCTATTGCAAAAGAAAAGTGAACCCATTAAACCCTAAACCCTAAACCCTGAAATCCAAAATTGAATAAAAATAAATACCTTTAACTTTGTAAGCCAGCTCCTCAGAGATCAATGCGCCAAACCCTTTATACCTCGTCGTACAAACTGAGTATATCTTCTTCCTGGCTTCCTCCTCGCTACAATTATTAACCCATCAAAAATCAAAAGGGAAAAACTCGAAAAGAAAGCAAATTGAATAATGAAACAGTGATTTCATTTCAGACTTTTCAGTACCTCCCCACAACAGAAGCAAGGGTCTTAACATAAGCATCAATCATGTCGGTTTCAGACTTATTTTCGTCGGCTGGAAACTCCATGACGATAAGCCAGTGCTCATAATCGCAGCCATCCAGAAGGATCGTTTCTTTCGGTGGCCGGTTGCTCCAGTTCGGCGATGGGTCGTTGAGGGGCGAGTAGCCAGGCCCGGACGTCGTCTTTGGACGGGTCAGGATCTTCACTGGGTCGGGTAAATGGGTTACTGAATGGTTGTCGAGGAGAGCGAGGGCAAAGCGGGGACGAGAAGAGAGGGAAGATGAAGATGGGGAAGAAGAAAGGACACGGGTTGCAAGGGATGCAAGTGTGCGCCGCGCAAAGTACGCCATTTTCGACGTCGCCTTCTCTGTGCCAAGGTTGCTAGCTTGAGGAGACGAGTTTAAGAGGAAAAAAGACAACGCAATTTATAGGCACTAATTCCTTTTTTTCCTTTTAATCATAATTTTTTTGCTGTGTTTGCTTAGCGAAAAGTTTACCCTCATTTCATGGAAGTTGAAGGTTATTTTAATATTTGTATAATTTAAAAAATAAATTTTTTTATTAAAAAATATAGTGCAAATTAAATTGTATCAAATTATATTATATTAATTAATAAATAAAGATAAAGTCTTAATATGAGGAGTGTATTTTTAGCTTAATAATTTATATTTTATAATTTAATAATTTAATTTTTAATTACTCGAGATCTTAAAATTACTATAAGGTTGTTTAGATAAAAAAAAATAATTCCCAAATAAAATTTTTCATTGGATCAAATGCTTAAATAACATGTTAACTTGTACTCCGAAACAAGCCATTAGATGTAGGGGCTCCCTTTTGTTATGAATTTTTTCATTATACAGCTACTAATATTTTATAGTTCATATAACAATATATTATATTTTTTTATAGTTCAATATGGAGTGAAGTTATTGCTATATCTTTAATAATTAGTATCATATGTATTTAGCTTAACAATATTCTTGTATTATTATTATTTTTTATTTCTTAAATTAATTAAAGGTATAACAATTGATTAAAATAAAAAAAATAATATTAATAATTAAATATGTGATAATAACACTACTTTTTATATACATTGAAATTAACAATTAAAACAAAGTATACCGTACAAAAGCACTTGCGGTCTTACTCGGGATGGTAGTGCACCAATGCCCTTGGTTCCTTTATCAAGAGTTCAAGCTGCCAATGCAGCAATATTATAATTATTTTTCTTTCCCTCAATTTTTCACTGATAAAAAAAAAAAAGAAAAAAAAAGTATACCGTACGAAAATCTTGATAAATTATAAGTGAAGCCTTCTCTCTTCACGAAGCAAGATTAGGAATTGATTTTACTAAATATGAAAGAACTAATTACCAAACACTTCTAGGAATGGTTTAGTTGAATGGAGATGAAGTGCTATGTGCTTTTACAATAAATTTCTTCCAATAACTGAGAGTTAAGAGATCGGAAAAAAGAGAGAAGGGCATAGGCAACCCAGTGGAGGTGTCACTACAATTTCCCACTTTTATTTCATGTTAGAAAAAAATTAGTAAAAAAATAATTAAAAAAAAAAAAAAACAGTCATTACACTTTCCCTATTACTAGAAAAAAGTCCCCAGTATTAGTAATTATTTCAAGAGTGTTTTAGAATTTAGATACTAAAACCATTGCCTTTTTTTTTAAAAAAAAAAAGATACTAAAAGATAGTAAATTGTTGCACTGAAACTTGTACAGAATAAAATCCCCAAATCTCTTCACTCTTATTAAAAGGAGGAATACATGACGAAAAATAGTAGGAGTTAATCTTCAATACCTTATTATCTTGCCCTAAGAAAGAAAATTATAAGTTAGGTGACCTATCCACTCCTACACTAACTTCACCTAAAACTTGGAGTTCGATATTTTTAAGCCTTTAACATTACCCCTCGTGCTTAGGTGGCCTAGTGCTAATCTCCCCAGTTCGGGTCCTGTATAGTTCAGTTTAATGTCCACAAGATGAATGTTCTGGCATGGTACCCCGGAGCTGCACAGTAATGACACTGCAGACTTGGTGTTGTATGTGCCCGTAATGTTCTTTATCAGAATGTCGGTTAACTTCACCATGGAAGGCTGTTCATGTACAATGATAAAATTCATCAATTTTACATTTATTTTGGGTCCAGAATTCAATGCATTCTTGATTTATTACCTTGGATTTGTTGCAGGAGCTTGAAGGGCAGTAATCTTGGTCTATGATTATCGGGTTTGAGACATTGATCATGGAAATGTCCTGGAATGTAATATTGGAGGCCCTGCCTGGTGGAGATCCAGGCCAAGTTTTCACCCTGACACCATTCTGGGTGCCATTGATTGTGCAGTTCTCGATTTTGATCCCAATGACATCCTTCTCATTTTTATATTTTCCTAGGCTGCCAATGCTGCCATTATTATGAGAGGTAAGTAATTCTGTGAACAATACTGAAACTGTTCAATCTAAGAGCTTAAACTGATAGTTAAGGTACCTGATGCCGTGGCCTGGGCCACATTGGATACCAGAAACAGAAATGTTGATGCTGCCAGGTCCAATGGAGACACAATCATCTCCTACGCCAATTGTTGAAGACGCAATGGTTATGTTAGAGGATTCACCGATATGGACTCCATCTGTGTTAGGGCTATCAGGAGGAGCAGAAATGTTTACATTGTAGACATCAATGTTGTCGCTGACATAAATATTTAAATGGAAGCCCTTGCTGTTTGCTAGGGTGATGTTACTGATGGTAGCATGTGAAACTTCGAAGAAATATAGTGACTGCAGAATCAAGGGATGCATAGGTCAATTATCTCAAACAGGAACAAATTATTGAGTTTGGACTGGCTTGGAACTTACTGCAACTAATCTGTTACAATTCATTGATTTCTCGCAGCTGGATCGTTTCCAGGCTTCTACTTCTCCCTTTCCGTCTATCCTGGCTTTCCCAGTTCCTGATCCAGTGAGATTGAATCCATACAGGTTTCTAAATGCTATCCAGGCAGAAGAGGGAAAGGCATCAAGGGATCCTGGAGCCAACAGAGTCCCTCTTATCTCAATGTTTGGTGACAAGTTGTTCAAGCAAGGGCCGTCAAACGAGATTGGTCCAAGGAGAAATATCCCCTCAGGTATTAAGAAAGTAGCATTTCCAGCATAATTGCAGGCAGCTTTCCATGCTGCTAAAAAAGCCTAAGCCAAAAAGAAATTGAAGTAAGTCAGAGAACCTTGCTTCAGATGCAAGTAATGTTCAAAGAATGCAAAAAATATACCGAGCTACTCTCTTTCTCTCCATCAGCCACTGCACCATACTCAGTAACATCAAAAACTCTGCCCCTTGATTCCTCATTGGGAGAATTGGCTGGTGGAATGGGAGGCAGTGCAGGTGAACCAGCTTCAGGTTCTGTAGCCTGGCATGGTTTAGGTAATCTAGCAGGTGGAATATTAGGCAGTGCAGGTGAATCAGCTTTGGGGTCTGGAGCCACGTTTGGTGAACCAAAGAGTTGGCGTGTAGGAATTTCTGCTATCACAATACTCAGGTGAAACAATGCTATATAAACTACTATATTTCCCATGCTGAACGCCATTGCTCCTGGATCAGCTGCCTTTGCTAAACTAGAAACTATATGTCTTCTTAACTATCTGGCGCAGTTAGTGACTTTGAAGCAGTTACCTACGGTATTTATTAGCTGAAAAATGTTTAGCTACATCTTTGGTGCAGTTTCTTTCAAAGTGTAACTTTTTAAAGGAAACTTCAGTTTATCTACTTAACTCTTAGAAATAAATCCCTTCATTAAATCTAGTCTTCACAATTTAACCATCTTATGAACGCTATTATTCCCATTTATTAAGGGAAAAAAAAAAAGAGAAGTAGAAGAAGAAGAATTCATGGATTGGTTTTAGTGTTTTGGTCTACCATCTTCAGTTTTATTACTTTGGAAAAAAAAAATTTTTTTCATTAAATCTGGTCCCAGGACCTTAATTCAGCCATTAAAAAAGGTAAAAAAGGGGGAAAGAGGTATATTCTTCAATCTCATATTCTCCCCTTTCTGTTTTTGATTAGAAGTATGGATAGGAAATATTTTGGAATTTTAGTAGATAGCTTTGAAGAAGGCATCTGGGACATGAGCTAACTACTCATCGACACAGACACATCTTGTGCCTCATACTGATTTGCAGTACTTGGTAAAACTAGGAGTTGCTTCCTTCAAGGAAATATTAGGGAAATACTGATCTATGCTCGGATTGATTTTACAGTTTTCTAGAACCAGAAATGGTATTGGAATTTAGAAATGCAAAAGAAATTTTTATTTAGACTGGGATCATGATGAAAAATGAAGTGATTCTTATTAATCTGTATATGATCTGCACATGCCTTACGAAGGCCAAAGAAAGGTAATGTAAATGCTGTGTATTAAGTTGGGGATAATTTCATAATTCTATATATGAAAAAATGCTACAAAAAAAAAAAAAAAAAGGAAAACCTTTACCCCATTGTAACCAGTAGTTTCACTTTAAAGTTTAAACTTCAATATATACGCCAACAGTTTACAGTATTAGGTGATGTTTCTTGGAAGTTGGTTGTGAATTAGGCCCAGAAAATATCCTCTACTTCTAATGATATAATGGTATATGTTAAGTATGATGCTTGGGAAAGAAATTAGTTTTGAAGTGTTCTTTGGCTTTGAAGCACTAAGTGCAAGGAGGAGGGTTTTGGATACCAATATATTCCACCTTGGCATTAGTACAAGTAGAGCTATAAGGCAAATTGTTTGGCTCCCCAGTGTAGGCCAGATTGATATTCTTCATGTGAATCCCTTGGCAAGGAGTCGACTCGCTGCACAACAGATTCACTGCAACCTTTGAAGTTGTGGTTCCCCTGATGTTTACGAAATGCACGTCGCTGATGGCTACTTTTGATGGCTGCACAAGAAAGGAAAATGTTGATAAGCTATAAGTTCAGGAGAGAACTGTGAAGGCAGCTTATGGGAATGGCATTAAAAAAATAAAGAAAAATAAAAAAGACAAACAAACAAACCTCCTTGCTGCTTTGTTTTCCATACTCTTGATTTATGATGATTGGATTCCTAACCCCATACATGACTATATCCTGGAAAATCATTCCTGAAGCTTTACTTGGAGTCGAAGCTTTGTACGTTTTGATTCTAACTCCATTGTCCGTGCCTATTAATGTGCTGTTCTTCACTATGATCCCACTCACATCTAACTCATCTTCATAATGGCCAAGGCTTCCAATACTGTCACAGACATAGACCAGAAGAAGACCATAAGAACTTTTGTGAAATGTGAAAAAAGACAGTGAACTTTTGGATAGGAAAATGTACCTGTAACCATGTCCTGGTCCACATGTTACTTTCTTGATGCTAATGTTTTGGCTTCCTTGAATCATAGAGACACAATCATCACCCGTGGCAATATTACTTCTAGAGATTTTTACAACACTGGATTTGCTCATATGAATGCCATCAGTGTTGGGGCTATCTGCAGGGGCAATTATATGAACATTGAATATACGGAAATTCTGGCTGTTGCTGATGAATATATGGAATCCTTTGGCATCAATGGATCTTATGCCCCGTATAATTGCATTTGATACCTTGTTGAACATTATATTCTGCATCACATGGAGAAAAAACCAATACAATTTATCACAACTACTTCTGTGTCTGAACCATGATAATGTAAATATGACAGAGAGGCCTTACAGCAGGCATACGGATGCAATTGTCATTCTTGGTACAGTCATTGTATTTCCATGACTCAGCACCTTGGCCATCAAAGGTGCCTGAACCGGTAATGATAAGACCATCAATATTTTGTATGGTAATCCACTCGGTAGCATCAGCTCCTCCAGTGTATTCGGAGATATCAGGGTCTGCTTTGACAATTCCTGCAACTTTAATGATTAAGGGAGATGGATTGAAACATGGCCCCTGAAATATAACTGGTCCTATTAAGAAGTTCCCTTGGGGGATGACCATCATGGCACTCCCTCGGAAATTGCAAGCAGCCTTGAATGTCCTGATGAAATTCTGCATGAAAAAAGATACAGAAATTTAAGCACTCCAATCCATCATTTTCAGCAAATGCAGTCTGTTTCAACAAGGAAAACTACATACCATCGCAGCATTTGTCTTTCCATCAGCCTTGGCCCCAAAGTCTAACACATTAAAAACTTTCACATTAGGATCAACTTTCCCCTTAGCTATGCCTCTAGCTTTGGCCAGAGCATCATCAGCGTTATACGGGTCCTTGGCCACATTTATGACCTTGGCCTCACAGCCTGCCAAAGCTATGCACAAGAGAAGAATGGCAATAACTTGAGTTATTCCTGTGAAAGCCATTGCCATCCTTCAACCCTGTCAAGCTTGAAATGAAATTTTTTTATCCTTAAATACAAATTTTTAGAAATAATAATAATAATGATAATGATAATAAGCCCCAACTAGAGGCTTGACAAGGCTCCCTTTTGGTGCCTCCTCCTATAAATCTTCCATTTTTTGGCAAAAACGTTTGTGCTGCTAACCAACATTGGGTTGACTAATTCTTTGGAAAATGTTGGTTTTTGGGCCATTTCCTAAATATAGTCATTCTTCTTTATACCCTTTCGTTACTTCTCCTTAAAATAGGAGTTGTGTTTTAGTCCCTTCAAAACAACAGCCTGTTTTTCCCATGAACGTAGTATTTGAACCAGCAAACCCACAATGACATTAACTATACTTAGTATAACAATTCTGCACTTTTTGGAAAAATCAAAACCGGGCAAAATTCTATTTCATTAACAAGAAAGTTATTTGAAAATCTCCTCCTCCAATGTTATAATACAAATTTGAGTTTTGCTTGAGCAAGAAGGCAGTTTCATTTTGGCCATAAAAAGAATCTATGTACAAGGAGGTGGACTTTGGAAGCCAACATATGCAACTCTGGCATTGATGCAACTAGAGCTGAAGGGCACATTGTTGTCCAGAAGACCAGTATACTTCAAATTGACATTGTTGAAGTGCAGACCTAGGCAAGGAACCGTCTGGCTGCAGAGGAGATTGACTGCAACTTTGGTAGTAGTGGTTCCATAAATGTTCGTGTAATGAACATCACTGATTCTTACATGTGATGGCTGTTGAAAACAAACAAGCATAGGTGAATTTAGTTTTTCTTAGGACTAATATTAGTCTAAGCCGATATGGGGAAGAAAATGGAAAATGAACCTTGTTGCTGTCACTATTCGCGTATTCTTGATCAATGATGATAGGGTTCTTGACTCCCTTCATTATGATGTCCTGGAAATATATGCCTGAAGCTTTACTAGGAGGTGAATCTTTATATGTTTTGATTCTGAGGCCATTGTCTGTGTTTGATAACGTGCAGTTTGTCACTACAATCCGAGTCACATCAAATTCATCATCGTAGTGTCCGAGACTTCCAATACTGTGAAAGTAACAAGTAAATGAAAAATTTTAAAGACTAATCTCTCCAGGCTTCTGATACTGTCTAAATGTTTAGAGTAAAGTACCTAAAACCATGTCCCGGGCCACATGTTACATTTTTTATGGTGATGTTGGTGCATCCATGGATCATAGACACGCAATCATCCCCAGTAGCAATACTACTTCTGGATATTTTCACCATATCAGATTTGCTTATATGAATGCCATCCGTGTTTGGACTCCTTGCTGGAGCAAGGAGATGAACATTGACAACCCTAATGTTCTGACCATAGCTAATGAAAATGTGAAATCCTTTGGGGTTAACAGATTTTATTCCTCGAATAATTGCATTTGACACCTTGATGAACTTTATATTCTGCATTATTTAGAGAGATCAGTAGAAAAGATGAAAGCAAGGAACAAATACTTGTGTTTTAGTAAATTTTGGAAACTTACAGCTGCCATCCGGACACAATTGGGATTAGTCTTACAGTCATTGTACTTCCAGGCATATTTGCCTTGTCCATCAAAAGTGCCTGGTCCAGTAATGATCAATCCATCAATGTTTTGAAAGGTGAACCAGTCTGATTCATCAGCTCCTCCGGCAAAGCAAGAAACATCAGGCTGTGCCTTGATGATTCCGGTCACTTTAACTCTTAAGGGAGCAGGGTTGATGCAGGGTCCGGAGAATGTGACAGGTCCAGTCAAAAAGTTCCCTTGAGGGATAACAAGCACAGCATTCCCATTGTAGTCACATGCAGCTCTAAAAGCCTCAATGAAGCTCTGCAGAAGTAAAAAATCATTACATCAATGGAGAATTCAGAGAGTAAAACAGAAAAATATAACTTGATGTAGGATAATACAATACCCTTGAGCTATCTGTATTTCTATCAGCCCTAGCACCGAAATCTAGCACATTGAACAGCTTCACATTAGCTTTTTCATTGAATGGGTCCCTCCCTTCACAGCGTGAAAAGGCTAAGCAGAAGAGAATGGCAGCATTAATGCAAGCTGTTGTTGTCATTTTCATTGTTATCCTTGAAGCTAAAGTATGGATTTTCATTGATGTGCATTTCTTTGGATATGTGGGTGACTAATGTTGGTTTTTAGTTTGGAGTTTGGTTGGTTTTCTTTAGTTCCCAAGAAATGGGAGCTGTTGTTCTTGACCCTTGAAAGTAGTTCTGTTTCTACTTCATCAGCTTCTCCATTTTGTTAGGATGTCCCAAAGGAAACATCTTACCTAACTTCTAAGACAGGTTTCTTTGTCTGTCTGATTTCCAAGTTAAAGATAAAGTTCACACCTTTATCTTTTTAGTTAAAAAAAGTTCACACCTTTAGCCCCTTCTTAACACTACATTTGTTTCAGTTTCAGTTATTGCCTATTAGTCTCTAATTAGAAGAATTATAACTAATTACTATCAACTATTAAATACGAGCTATCAACTACATTTAAACAGCTAATTCTAACAGGACATAAAATTGCCTTCCCCTGTCATTGCATAGGCTACACCTTTTCTTTTCTTTTTTTTTTTTTTATCAGCTTGTATAGGCTACACTTACAGCCTCGAGTGATGATGGAATATATTAAAACTTCTCAGAGATTAGGGTCCAGATAAAGAGAGATGAAGTTATGGACATTTTATCTTATAAAGGAAACTCTTGTATTTAAAAACCAAGAATTAACAGTACCCAAATCAAGTCCAAAGTCTTATTATGTGTACATGTCATAAACACAAGAATATTCCCTCACTCTCGAGAAAACTTGCTCATGAATAATCTACTCTCCCTGCAACAACAAACACAATTAACCACGATTAGTAGAATAATTAGAGTAATAATGTAATCAGATCAAGGGGATTAAATACAAGTACTTACAATGTTTTCTCGACTGGATGTAAAAGCAGGTCTTCTTGGAGGTAATTGTTGGTGTGGTGTTCGCTGCAAAACCCAATTATGTTATTGTTTTATTTAAATTTAATATGTGAACACACAGATACACATGTATAAAAAAGCAAGAAAATCATGAAAATTCTACCTGAAGCTTTGGTCTCAATGTCTCTATTGCCACTGTTGATTTCGGATTCACTCCAGCTCCTTGCTAATATTGGAAAATCAAATAATAATAATAACAATGTTGTTAATTTCCAATTTTTCTTTGAAAAAATAGTTTTTTTTTTTTTTTTTTTTGGATATGTAAATACCTTGCATAATGCCCAATCAGCTGAATCAAAGAAAGCACGCTCAGGATCCTATAAAATAGACAAAATTTCCTCAACAATAACACAATGATATATAGGTTATGATCCACTTACATATAACTTTTATACATTAGATTTATATAAAATCTTAATTATTTATTTTTTTACTTTTAATAATTGAGATTTATTCACTTTTTTATCGTATTTATTAAAGATAATAATATTTTTCATTTAAAAAATTGTGATAAATTTCAATTATTGAAAATGAAAAAAAAAATAATTAAAATTTTATATAAGTATAGTATATAAAACTTGTGTGTAAGTACATTTTTTACTCTTAAGATATTATGAAATTTTATGCAGGGATTTTTTTGAATTACTTACCTTTGAAATTAAAGGCTTTTTCTTTGGCATGAGTCCTCCATATTTGTTCCCAGAAGATGTTGTTTCCTGTTGTTGTCAAGAACATCATGATGCATTTAATAATAAGATTTCAATGTGCTAACTAAAAACCCAAATTTCAAAGGGGGTTTCATATAGACCACAACTTTATTACATATATCAATAGGGGGATAAGGTTTTTTTTTTTTTTTTTTTGAAAAAAAATACATAAAATCTTATCTTATCTCATCTCATATTCTTGTGTGAAAGTAGCTATAAACACTTAACACAATAAAATAAAATAAAATAAAGGTATATATATGAATTTAACTAAGCAATCAAAGATGCATGGGAACCCATAAAGGTTTTATTATAAATGAGCTGATAGTGAAGCATTGATTTATTTAGTAAGGGAAATGGGAGAATTTTCAAACCTTTAAAATTTAAAATCTTAATGTAAACAGGTTTAATATTATTTTCAAGTTCCAAACCACTTTATGTACTCTTTATATAAATAAAAAGAAAAAAATTAAGATATTTTAATAATTAAAATATAAAAAAACTTTAATATTTTACTATGATTTTCACTTTTTTTTTTCTCTAAACAATAAGATAGTTTAAATGCAACCTAAAATTTTAGTTTTTTCTAAGAAAAAACACTAAAAAGAATTTAAACAGAAATGATAAAAGAAAATAAAATTTTAACAAATTAAAGGAATAAATAGATGAATAAATTTTTAAAAAAAAACAATTTATCAAAATCTGAAAATAAAAGAAAAAGAAAGGGGGGGTGTAAACAAAACAAAACAAAATTCCACGTGATTCACTTAACATAACCCGGTCCCCCGGCGGCCCACTTGGGCAATAAATTCGGTGCGGTGCTGTTTGGTTAGGTACAAACCACACACTGCCGTGCCGACATTTTCTACGAACGCAAAGAATATCTCTGATCATCAAAGTACTTTTTTTGACACAACAGGAAAAATTAGACCGTTGGCACTGACGTGTAATGATCAGGGACGTTGAATCTATGGGGACCACAGATTGTACTACCGTAGGGAAGAGCACATGGGATTAATTTACACCACAAAAATCCCCGCCTAAAAAAAATCTTGAATATGGGTATCCTAGGGGGGGTGGTATATATCTATGGGCTAAGATACGCAATTATTCACTCCCCATATGGGCCCAACACCAATGGACCAATCATTTTTCAAGCCTATTTTTTCAAGCCTATTTGGCAATAAACCATTATAAATTAAAATTTTTAATTTTTCTTTTTTAGCCCACTCAACTAATTTAATTACCAAAAAATTGTTTTTGTAATCTATTAGATTGTAAAATATTTGCCCTTAAATTAGTAACAGGCTATCTAATATTAATTTTTTATAAAAAAATTATATTTTATAA